AAGGTCTGTCTAGGGTAGGCATGAATGGCACTGGCAAGATTTAGAGGTCACAGAGAAGGAGGGACAAGCAGCACAAGCTATAGCTGATGTCAAACCAGATGTCCCTACTTTGCCTTCTAATTTTTCATTCTCTTGCATGACCCTTATGGTGGTGGTGAGGAGGAGGAGAAAGATAGCACCTCCCATCTACATTGCAATCCTCACTCTACCACATAGTCCAACAGCCGTTACTGTATTCTATCTTCTACATAAGTATACAACAAATATACAATCTCTGATTCCAATTTTGTATGAATCTGCTGAGAGCTAGAGAATATAAGTACCTGTTAGAAGCCAACAGTGTCGTAAATATCAGAAAAACAGAATTACTCTTGTCCCTGGCTCTTTATCCCTCTACATAGATTATGGAGCAATTGTAAAGGCTCTTAGGGAATGTCCTCAGTACCACAGGATCAGCTTGACAGCCTTGCTAGCTAGACATCAAAGCTGTTTCTTTTTCCTCCTAGAACATGCCTTTCCTGTATTTTGTTTCCTATATTCACTGTATTTTATACTGTGTTTTTGACAGAATAGCTGACAATTTTAACTATTTTGGCTCATTATTATGAAAAGCATGTTCTTTCCTTGAAAAATCCATTCAAAATAACTAATTCCTTGAGGTAAAGAACTTGAACTTAAAAAACAAACTTAATCTTAAAGACAAATTATTAACATTTCTCTAGCTGGATAAATAGAAATAGTCTCTTCTGGTTGGGCTCTAGGAGATGTAAATCCACATCATGTATACATTTCCTACATTTCTATATCGCCTGCAGGTTGGTGTGCACTTGTGGCTGAGCTCTACTCAGTGGGTGGTTGGCATGAATCACGAGCTTTTCGTCTCCTTCCCCTTCAACCGCACCAGGAGAAGCTGAAGACAACAGCTGTGTCAGATAGAGGGCACACAGTTCCCTTAAATTCCAGCTTTGGACAAAGTTGCCATATCATAGGGAACCCAGGTTTAGAAATGAAATAAATGAGAAATATATTTTTATTATGCTAAGCCCCTGAGGTTTATCAGTTTCAGCAGCTACCATTACCTTAACTCAATAAAAAGCAGGGAAAGGGATATCATGACAATGAATTTATGATCCCAAACACTCACCAAGAGCATTCCCAGTATTCCCAGTTCCCTGAATAACACACTGGAGCAGTGCTCTACACTTGAGCTAGATCCCCTTAACCTTCTTTGCTTCTTTAATATTAGGTACAATCCTGACAATAGGTGGTAATACAGCAGAATTGCAGGACTTTTTGGTCAGGGATCCTACCACCTTTGGGTCCTCAGCACCACATATAATGACAGACACAGGACAGATACTCAATCAAGGGTGATATGTAAGCAGCAAACAGCCTCCTATTCCATCCCAGGAGATGACAGTGGAATAGGTCTTGAATATTTCAGTCCTCCAAATGAAAAAGGCAATTTCTCATAGGAGGCATCTTTCAGAACAGGAGATCTTTCCTGACTTGGTGATAGCTATGATGGTAAAGAATTTTATTCATTCTCTCATTCATTTCTTCAAAGTTATTTACTAAGCACTATAGAGTGCCCACTTATTTAGCACTATTCCAGGGGAAAAAAGTAAAATAAAAACTAAAATAAAACAGACAAAGCCTCTATTGTCATGGCTCTTACACTCCAGTGAATTCTGTGTACATGGTGAAACCCTCACATACAAATGTGGCTCGAAGCCAGTGAAGTGTTCAGACATCTGGATTGGTAGTAAAATAATAAGTGTGTTCCAGGTTATCAAAGTTATGATGAGAGGCACATTGCAATGGTCCATTCTCTCAAAGCATCAAAACATCTGCTCCAAACATATGAAGATAGGAAATCATCAGTTTAAAAGTGTGAGAACAATTTAGCCAGACCTACACTCAAGAAGTTAAACTATGCAGGAAAAAAAACCCACAATCATGAATGGCAGTGGTAAAGATTATCCTCCGTGGCTATCATAAATTTGGTGACGCTGATAGGACCAATCTATTATTTTTTTAAGCTCCTGTTTTAGGAGACTTAATCATATACTTTGGCAACAGATGCACCAGCAATGGCAGATGTGCTGACAACTGACCAGGTTAAGAAAAATAAAGGCAGATGGTTTTAGATTAAAATCTGGATGGCAATGCTGTCATTAGAGAATTGACATTCTGTCACTAGGCCAAGGTTCTTCTACGCTATTTACTTTACTCTCTAAATTATCTGCCACCTGGTGGTCCAGGAAATAATTTAGCAGTTTAATCATGGGCAGTTGATAAAAACTCATTAATTTGTATTTAGTGATTCATCCAACAGCATGCTTATTGAGTTCCTACTATGTGTGTGGTGACTTTCTAGGTGCCAAGAATGAGTGCCAAGACAGTGGGTTTAGGCCTTCCTAAGTCCTAACAAGATAACTAATCAGGGGGATGATATAAGAGGGCCCAGGGAAGGCTCCTGGAGGAAGAGACACTTGAACTGAGACAGGAAAAATGAGATATCATCTTTCTACAGCTGGTAGAAATTGTAACAAACTCAGCAGCTTAAACACAAACTCACTATCTCAGAGTTCCTGTGAGTCAGGAATCTGGGTAGCAGTGAGCCGGGTCCTCTGCTTAGGCTCTTGCAGGCTAAAACCAAATGTTGGTTGGAGCTGTGATCTCTTTGGAGGCTCGGGGTTCTCTTTGAAGCCTGTGGTTCTTGGCACAACTCTTTTCCTAATGGTTGTATGAGAAGAGCACCTGTTTTCTTCTTAGTTGCTGTCTGGGGACCATTTTCAGCTCCTAGACACACTCTCAGGTCCTTGCCACATGGTCCTTCTCCCCCTAAAACAAGGCTATTTGCTTTCTAGTAGGTAGATGAAAGAGTATCTTTCTGATACCGCACCATCTTTTAAAGGGCTCACTCAAGTAGATGAGGTACATCTTCATGTTTCTCTTTGAATGAACTCAAAGTCAACTGATTAGCAACAACATCACAGGAGTGAGGCAGCATCTTATCCACTGGGTATCAGGAGTGAAGGGTAGACTATACTAGGCATCTACCCCCAAAGGTGGGGATCTTGGCAAACCTCTTGGAATACTGCCTGACATAGATGAGAATTAGCCATTCCAAATCGGCTTTCCAGATAGGGTCACCAGAAAGCACAGGGCTTCTGGGATGGACAGAAACGATACATTCAGGCAAGAGAAAAGGTTGGTGTACTGAGCACAGTGCAAGAGGAAAAGGGAGGGCAGAGATGAGGTAGGAGACACTGGCAGGTGTAAGATGACTTAGGGCCTTGGTAGCCATAACAGGTTTTGATTTCATTGTAAATGCCAAAGTCCTAATGTTAAATGAGCCCCTGATATGATATCAGGCTTGTCTGTAGCAAAAAGATCAGTGGATCTGAAGTCAAGGGAAATTCTACACGTTAGCTTTCTGGAGCTTCTCCTCATTTTGTGAAAAGAGGACCTATGCAGAAAGTTCTTTACAGATCTAACATTCCATGTTTTCTAGGTCCTTATGAAAATAACTGTTCAGGTGAAAGTGAAAATATTATGAATGTAATCACTTTCTACACTTGGCTGACCTAATTAAAAAGGAATCTGGTATTCTACTTCTTCTATGCATCTTCCAAAGTTCATGAAAGCACCCTTGAGTCCTTTCATAAACTCTATGAATAACAATAACAACATGAATAATACAGAGGCGTTTCCAGGAGCAAAATGTAATTTTTCCCTTGGTCAGGGGAGAATCCATAATCAGTGTTTTTAGAAATTTCTGTCAATGTGGCTTTTCAAAATAATACCAAGACAAGACTTTATAGTTTGGAAATCCTAGTCATCATGGCTATTTTTTTCTTCTTCTTTTTCTTCCCAAGCTGCACTTCAAAGGGAGATCCGAGTTGAAGTTAAACAACCTATCCCAATGTCACTATGTCCTAATCTACCAGGAAGTCAGAGGTATAACTCCTTTCATAGCAGCCTCCATGAAAGTACTAGCAAGATTTACTTGAGGGTTCCCTTTGAGTCTATGATAAAGACAGAAAAAAACCCAGATTTAAAGAATAACAGAAGTTAGACTCTAAAATTTGAAGATCCATTAAGAGCTATTTGATGACTCCCACATTTCTGAAAAGTGCCTACTCATTAGTGTAATTTCTCAGGTCTCATTTGAACTAGGACTTAGATCATCATTAAAATACAGCAATATAAAATCCTCCTCTCTCCACATCCCTTTCTTGTTTGCATAGCTGGGGCCTCAAATTGTAAAGATCATATTACATTATTTTCCTCTTATGAAGTAAGAGAAATTTATTCAGTGAAGCAATCTAAAAATAACCCATTTGAGAGCCAGTGGCTTCCATGGTTACCAAAAGACCCTGTTGATTCTTTGCTCTAGCGGGCAACCACATTGGGGAATCATCTGAATAGAAAGCAACACACACCTAAACTAGCATGGAGGGCCACACCGCAGGGCTGTGCACCATTCCATTTTATAAAGTGTTATTTTCTTCTTCGTGGTCCTTTGAGAAGCACATGTGAAAGAAAGGAAAACACTTTTGCAAATGAATGAAACTTGGCCCCAAATCTATTACTTCTGGGAATCCCACCATACTCTTACTTTCTAACAAAACCAACACCATTCCATAGCATAACTTTTGAAAATATCATGTTCACAAATAATAACTCACTATATAATTTCCAATAAGGGAATCAAAGAGTAGGGTATATTTTTCCTTAAGTAAATATTTTACATTATATTTTGTGGAAGTTACACATCTACTTAATTATGATTGGAAATGGAGTAATGTTGCATAAATATTTATACACATTCATACATATATACATGAATACATTACCCCATTACATACACAAATACATTTCTTCCACATATGATTCTAATAACTCAATTATATGTGTATATACATACGTACATTATCCCAATTATGTATACACACCTACAACTCAAAGAAAAAGAGATTTATTTGACTCACAGTTTCCAGTGGGTTCAGTTTAAAGTTGACTGGCTCCAAGGCAGAAATGGCATGCTGGAAGGGCTTGCTGGAAGACAGCTGCTCATCCCACAGTGACTAAGAAACACAAAGAAAAGAATACAGAGTTAGGGACAAGAAAATACTCTTTCAGGTCATCCCTTAAGTGATCTACTGCCAATCAGGCCCCACCTCCTAACAGCATATTCAGCTACTAAACTCACCAATGCATGAATCCACTGATGCGTATAGCATGCCCATGATCCTATCATCTTCCAAACATATGAGACGTTGGGGAATACTTTAGATCTGAACCACAAAAATTTTTGAAAAATATATGCTAATGTATTAGTGCATTCTTGTATGCATATGTAGTCTCCTAAGATTTTTACACCTCCATTCCACTTGTTTTGAGAAAGAGAAATCCACAAAGAATCTACTTCAGAAAAAAAGATTTCATATTTTCACCACAGATTCTCGGGTCTAGCATGCATAAAATAGGTTTATTAAAATACATGGAAAGTACCACCAAAACACATCAACTTGCCTACATATTAACTAAGTTAAAAATCAAAGAATGCCAATGATGTAAGTTTAATATATTTATGCACCAGCAATCTAGAGTAGTGCCAGAGGCAGTCAGAGTGAGCCTGAATTAGCTCTAATATTGGTTGCTTACTATAAATATTCATTATGCTAGAAGTGGTCTTATGGTTCCTTCTTACATTTAGTAATATCCAGCAAATGACTGATATAAACCAAGAATGTCCTAGACATGAGGGGATGACTATGAATAAGATGGATGAGGTACTTGTCTCCATGAAGTTTACATTGTAATGGGAAAAGATAGACAAATTAAGAGAATTTCATATTGTAGTAAATTCTAATAAGGGAATTATAAGAAAATTATTTGATTTTAGGAACGAAGTTACTTTAGATAGCATAGGCAAAAAGACTGCCCAAAGATTTTGAGCTCAGATATAAAGTAACAGGAGCCAGTCATGAAAAGAACCAGATAAACAACAGAAAGAAGAAAGGAAGACAGAAAGACAGAGCAACAAATACAAAGACAGAGAAAGAAAGAGCTTGGCTGGACAGAGAAACAGGAAATAAGCCAGTGTATTTGGAGTAGAGGAGACAAGCAATTCATGATGAGTTGGAAAGGAAGCCAGAACAGGCCACAGTAAAGGAGCTTAGATTTCACTCTTAAGTGCTCTGGGAAGCCATTAGAAGAATTCAGGCAGTGAAGTAATAGGATCAGAAATAAGCTTTTAAAAAAATGTCTCTGAATGAATATTGATCCAAAACTACAATATCCCAAGCATAGGAACAGATGATTACTTTGGGGATCATTGCACAAGTCCAAGTCAGAGATGATGTTGGCTTGGCAAGGGTGGTGCCAGTGATGAAGGGTGTCCATCAGGCATTGTCATAGTTTCTTTTCATTGCTGGGACAAAATACCTGACACCCACAAGTTAAAAGAGGAAAGGTTTATTTTAGCTCACAGTTGTGCTCTCTGCAGCAGCACATATATTTCAGCTCACAGTACAGGTTTCAGTAGTCTGCTGGCTCCAAGGCAGGATATCATAGCAGAGGAACACGGTCAAGGAAAAACAGTCCATGGAATGGTAGGTAGAAAGCATAAGCCTGCCTTTTCTTTGTCCCTTTATATTTCATCCAGGCTACAAGTCTATTGATTGGTGTGACCCATATCCAAGGTGAGGCTTCCCTCTTCCATAAATACATTCAACCACACTGAGAACTATGCTTATCCAACTAGGGGACTAATCCAGATATCACATCCTGGATCCAGCCATCTCTGAAAAGCCTAATCTATGAGTCCATGAGGCTGTAGGGGGGACATCTAGACACAAGCTATAACATTATGAATATAGAACAGTCTGTAAAATGCTAAAAAGCCTACAATCTTCATTTTTCAAAGTTGTGTGTGTGAGACACTAAGGTTTCTTCTCATATGACTAATGAATTGGTAAAATATTCAAATTGGTATTGGACAGAGAATTCTCAGTTTCACCTTTACCCAGTGTCTGACCTAATGTTGATGTAGAATGGTTTCAAATGGTCACACATTTGCCTCACAGATTTTTTACATTCTTTTGTTTGTTCTGTTACTTGATCTAATTGCTTTAGAATAAAACTTTAATCTCCCACACTTTTATAATAGAAAGCAATCCCAGTAGCATATAATGTTGTTACTTGTGCTCCTCAAAGAGGAATATTGAACCTACCAGCGGTTTCATAAATCTTGGTTTACCAAAGATACATCAAGCATGTGAGAATAAACTAAGGAAAAAATGATATTGGGGCTCATAAAATCTTAGAGTATGCTCTCTCTGAAGAGTTGGGATAGGACATAGTAGACACAAGAGCAAGCCATGGTTAAGATCAAATTTCTTCTAAATAATTGTGTTCCAAAATAAAGTGTATTAACATTTAAAAGGAATAGAGAAAGTTAGCAAAGAAGGTAAACTATGCAATGTCTGGCATCCAATAAAAAATTCCAGTTAAGTAAAGAAACCGGAAAATGGCACTCACAAGAAAGAGACAAATCAATGACTAGAAATACTCAGTAATGACACAGATGATAGAATTAATAGACAAAGACATTAAGCACACTCTTTAACAAGGGCATCTTGCTTCTATTTTTTTTTTAAAGAACTAGTTTGAACTTCAAGAGGAAAAAATACAATGATGAAGATGAAAAATATACTAGACAGCATTAATAATGGCTTAGAAACTCTGTTGAAATAGATAAGTAAACTTGAAGATACAAAAATGAAAAACATCCAAAAGGAAACACAAAGGGGAAATAACAGAAAATATGAGCAAGTATCACTAAATTGTGCAAAAATTTTACATAGTGTAAAATATTTATAATTGAGACCTTTGAATGAGAGGAAGAGAACTATAAAGATATTTTAGATAATAATAGCTGACATTTTTCCAAATACGTTGATCTAAGAAAATCAAGGAATTCCAAGGAAAAGAAATATGAAGAAAATAACCCTAAGATACATTAAAATCAAGTTGCTTAAAATCAGGGATAAAAATCTTAAACGGTCATTTAAAGAAAAAAAACCTTCAACATGAACATTGATTACGTGGATATTTGCTATAAGGCAGGTTCTGATTCAGTAGATCTGGGATGGAACCTGGTAGTTTGCATTTCTAACAAGTACCAGGCAAACCAAATGCTGCTAAGGTGAGGTTTACACTTTTGAGAAGCAAATTTCTAAGATTCTAACAGTCAAACTGTTTTTCTTTTCTAACCCAAGATATCAAAGATTTACAATGGAGAGAAGCAATAGACCTAGGAAAGCATAAGTGACAGTATTTGGGTTTCTAGCCAGTTTCACACTAGTAATGCACTGACAGAAAACTACATGAAAACCTAGTCCTCAAAATTTCACCTTTAAGTCTTTTGGAATAAGGCCAAGTATACTTTGTTTCTGGATTTCTCACAAACATTCCTTTTTATTTGGTGAATTTATTTTCACTCCCTTTGAAACACTCATCCACTCCCAAGTTATTTGCCAAGAGCACACATTCCTCCAAACTTCAAAAGTACGACCTATAATCCACCACTAGTCAGTAAGCTCACTGTATTTCACTACTCTAAGTGATTGGTTCAAACATAGGCATGTGACCCAAATTTGTCCAATCAGATTTGTGTGAGAACTTCAAGAAAGAGATGGCTCTTCCACTGAAACCTGGAAGTACATGGACTGGATCTGCTGCAACTTGTTTCCTTTAGAGGAAAAAAGAGTATAAGAATGGCGTCCAAACAGAAGAAGCAAAGCCAAGACAAGGGGAGAGTAAAACTAGGTTCTAGTGCATCATGTCAACCCCTGGTTTACATCATTACTAAAGTGAGGCCGATCCCTGAACTCCTCAGGAACATAAGCCAATAAATAGCCCTATTTTTTAAATATGTTTAACCAAGTTTGACTAATACTTTCTTTTTCACTATACAGGAAAAAAACTCTAACAGAAACAAAAAGTACGAGTTAAGTATGCTTTTGCGACATAGTCCAGGAATCTAATTGAAATGTATAACATAATTTCCGTTAAACGTTCATGAGTATTAAATTGGGTCTCAGAATTCTTGAAGCCTTTTCTTCCCCATTTGCTGGGAAGAGTATCTGTGCATAGAGAGGAATTTAGATTCTACCTAGCTAGGTCAGGTTGCTTTGTCAAACAGTCCCTAAAATTGTGAGTCTAATCCAACATTGAGGAATTCACATCTCAGAATATTCCTAAAAGTACATGACAAATTAGATCTGCTGAGTAAAGTGAAAGAGAAGCAGTAAACATGTTCATAAACATCTTGACTTGGAAAGAATACACTCATTAACCAAGAAAATGAGTAGCTGATTTGCACTTACCTTCTTTTTCAATAAAAAAATATACTTTAATGAACTTGGAGTGCCAGACAATTCTAAGACAGAAACCTTAAATTAAACGTTATGTACCTCCACTAACAAGACTATAGGATATGCACAAGGGACGAAAGATTCAGAAAAATTATTTTCATTCTCTAGGCTTCAAATGTTATACATTACAGAAACTGGGGTAAAAAATCTCTTTGCTTTAAGTTTGAAATCTCTATCATTCTGTTTAAAAAAAAAAAGCTAATTAAGATTTCAAAAGCCCAAAATAGCTGAGAACTGTTATTAAACAACTATTATTAAACAACTGTTATTAAACAACTCTTAACTGCAGATCAGCATAATAATTGAGCACGGAGTCAACTTTGATGAGCAGGAAATATTTTAATCTGTCCATAATCATATGCTATACTAAGCTACTCATCAAGTATTACTAAAGTCAAATGACACTGGGTTCACATGCAGCTCCTAGTAATTTCAAATCAAATATATTACAAAGTTTCTACTGACATCCAGCTCAAGTTGGGAAGTTTCACATTGTATAGACATGTCCAGTGGCCTCTCCCTTGAAGAGAGAAAAGTAAAACTGAGGCGCCAAGAATAGGGACCTATTGGTAATCTCCCAAATCAAGAAAAGACAAGACTCTTCATAACAACGGCATAAGAAAACTCCATCTGACTTGTTTGTT